AAGACCCAAGCCCAGTGATAAAGATAAACTGCACTTTTAGATTGATTCCTGAAGTGTGTATAAATAAATCCGGTGGAAACTGTCCTACAGACTAAATGATAATACTTGCAAATATACTTCAACATACTCAAAAGATTTAAATTTCACTTAACAAGGTCATAGCCAAGATAAAGAGATTTTGACAAAATGAAAGACTTTATTAAACCCACCTGGTCATGAAAATAAACAGTATTTTTAATTGATTCACGCGCAAGATAAACAAAAACATTTTTTCCGCATCCTTGCTGCACTTAGCACTACAACTTATTAACATAACATTACACAAACCGGAAAGTAATTTAACTGTGAAAAATATGTAGTGTTTTTACTGCCCAGATCTCAATAGCCGAGAATACCCAAAACAGGTTTCTGTTGTCTCGGAGCAGTTGACTGCTTAGCTGTAAATCCTTCGAAACTTTTACTTTACGTAAAGTCGATAAAGTCATTTTTTCCCTACCATTTTAATAAATTGCCTGACAAACAGGCTATGGAATATAAAAAATATCACCTATACGAGGGATTCATTTGATAAAACATCGAGGAAATGCACAAACAGGTACGAGAAGAATTAAGAATTAGTTATTAAGCCGCAGGATTTGTGTCTTTAGCTCTGTAATAAGAAAGGAAATGAACATACGATTTTTGTGGACCTTTCTAGACCAACTGAGTTATTATTCCATCCTGGTGGGAAGAGAGACTGTTCCGAGATTGAACACGTAAGACAGATCTAAAGCTGGAGATCTGGGGCCCGTTTCTCGAAAGTCCCGGTGACTTAAAGGACCCGTAAAGCGGTTCTGTTTTCATTCAGGATGGGAATTTCAAAAGTTTTGAAAACAACAAAATGAAACCATCAACTAAAGAAATAAAATGGAGCGTGTTTGGGGGCCAGACCCTGCTTTTCTATCCTTTGAATTTTTTATTTTAAAACATGGCCTCGGACCCGCTAAGTTACCGGGACTTTCGAGAAACAGGCCCCTAGTGCCGCCAATTTACTTCGCAAATAATGCTAAGATTCTGAGTTCATTGCATTATACAGCGGTACCTTTAACAACCAAGGGAGAAATGCAGACAACAACTGCAACAAATCGAACGCCGCCACCAAGATCATCAGGCACCATACCACGATCAAGATTAACGCCACAAGAAACATCAGCATCAGAAGCACCAACATTAGCAACAACAAGGACCAGACAAACAGCAATAAGAACGGAACAACTAAACCTGGCAGTATCAACAGACCAACTGCCACAGTCAAACGTAACATGGAGGATAACCGCAATGACACCAAGAACAAGATCAACAGCGGCATCGTCAGCTGTAGCACCAACATCAGCAACAACAAGAACCAGACAAACAGCAATAAGAACGGAACAACTGAACCCGGTGATGGTGTCAACAGAAGAACTGCCACGGTCAAACGCAACACGGAGGGTAACCGCAACAACACCAAGAACGAGATCAACAGCGGCATCGTCAGCTATACCACCAACACCACCTTCAGCTTTTGGAGGAATGAATGCTACACAACCACCTTTTCCAGGTATGTAAACATTCTCGAATTTCCAAAAATTCCGGTGCCCATTTCATTTTTTGATAAAAGTCAGTCTAAGACATGAAACGCACTCAGAGCTCGTAGCCCTGGTTTAAGGACCAATCTCACCCGAATGAAAGCGCTGGGGGACGAGTTCTTTCACTTATACCATTATCAGTCTGCAATAAATGTTTTTGCTAATATTGCTTTACTAAATCGAACAACTCTCTGCATTCTTAAAAAGAATCCAATGCCAATACAAAAATTCTCAGCTTAACTCGCCATGCCAAGAAGCTGAGAAAGTCGCACGATGGCGGATTAACGGTGAGACGGAATGACATAACAATGTTACCATGCCCACTGAAAACTAACTTTCAACGTCGAGT